TTAACGGAGAACTGTCTGGTATGTGAACTAGCTCAAGAAAGCTTCAGAATAAGGAGGAAAAACAGGAGAAGAAGGGAAAGTCAGTGGAGGAGGAGGAAGAGGAGGAAGAAAGAGGCAGCCGGTCCCGCAGGCTTCGAGCTGAGGGCGGGAGGTGGCCTCTCCCGCGCTCAGTTCCACTCGGGTCTTTGGCTGGGTCTGGAGATGGGATTAGCACAGGCAGGTCCTCAGCGCAGGTCCACGTGGGCATCCCCACGGGACAGTGAAGACTGAGACCCGCCAGAGCCAGGCGCTTCTGTTCCCTGAAGACAGAGCGTGGTAGATGGCGGAGCATGGTGACAAAGGAGGGCAGGGACAGCACCGAAAGCAAGCACCTGGGAAGGCTTACGGAGACAGTCCTGCTGCAGATCCCTCTGGCTCTGAGCTGCTGAAAGTCACCTCCAGAAAAAGAGGGTCTAGGTCCCCTCGTCAGGCAGGAAGGGGAAGCAGGAAGTCTCCCGCAGCCACACTTTCTTCAGCTCCACCCCTCGATACTCTAGGGAGAGATGTTTCCATTTCCTTCAGCTTTGGGGAGGTGCTAAGGTCCAGTGGTCACAAGCGTGGGCTCTGGAGTGACGAGGGATGAGTTGGGTCAGACAGGCTTCCCCACCTACCCACCTAGTGACTCCTAGCATTTGGGTATCTTCTACACAGTGTTTTCCACTTTTAACGTGCTTTGGACCCCTGGGGGGCCTGTTAGGACACACACTGCCAGAGCCACTGATCCAGTAGGTCTGAGTGGGGCCAGAGAATCTGCATTTCTAACAACCAGGTGTTGCTGATGCTGCTCGCCCCAGGACCACACCCTGAAAACTGCTCATTAAGATGTAGTCCCAGGGCCTGTCCAGTGCACTTGGCAAAGAACTGCAGAAGTCCACAGTGAAAATTAGGTGTGAAGATATGAAAAACTATTTTATTTGGCAATTTCTAAATGTTGAGTTATAATTAGTGACCACAGTTTTGATGGAATGATGGGAGTGATTGCAGAGAAGGACCCAGAGGACTGGGAGTCATGTCCTTCCGGCTCTCGGCATTTGGTCCAAAACAATCTGGAACTGCAGTTTTCTTCTCTGTGAAAAATGCGTCCCCACGATGCCTCGTTGGTACGTGCCATAAAGTCGTGAGGAAGACAATCTGCTAACCTGGTTGAAACGCCTGGTGACTATCAGTGCATTAAACCAGAGTTCTTATCCCTGCTCTCGGAAACCACTTTCTGCCTGGCTTTCAACTCTAGCAGAGCCTCTGCCGTCTCTGGAGTCCCCCGAGGCACTGCAAGAGCTGAGCTGCTTTCCACACTCTGCGGCAGGAATCTACACCCAAATAGGCCTCAAGGATGAAGCGTTTGCTTTGGCACATTACAGGAAGTCCAGTCACAGCAGCCCGGTTGTCAAACAGGAGGGGTCTGCGGAGAACGTGGACCAGGCAGGGCCTGGAAATGGTTGGAAAATAAATGGATGATAAGGATAGATGCTCACAATGATTTGCACAGTCTCGTGGAGCTCTTTAAGGTTTACAATTTCTCATAAGCCATGCCCTGATTGCAGGATACAGCTCACAAGCATCAGGATGGTAAAAAAAAAACAAAAAAACAAAAACAACACTTTAGAGTCGTGGTCCTCAGCCCTGACCATGCAGGAGAACCACACCAGGAGCTTTCCAAGGATGCCATCATTTGGGCCTTGCTCGGAGGCCTCTGGCCTGAGCGGTGTGGGGGTGGCTCAGACAATGGTGAGAATCACCCTCAGAATCTGAGTTCCCTCTCAGCTGGGAGGTGTCCAGTTTCGAGCCCTGGGCGGTTACTTAGGAACAGAATAGATTGGTGGGAGAAGGTGGCGCTGAGAACCAGACTGGGACTCACACACCTGTTCACCTGTTCATGATCATCAGGGCACATTCACACACACACACACACACACACACACACACATAAATGTGCACACACACACACACACACAGTGCCTTAACTCTCAGGTGTGACTTTGGTTCTCCTTTGAGGCTACCTTGTAATCTGCCTGAATGCCTCTTGGGAAGTGGTCTATGGGTAGGGCCAGGGTGGGACGCAGAGGATAATTTTTCACCGACTCTACCTTCTTGAGAATAGTGGTTCTTGAACATTGGTGTGAATCAGAACCACCTGGAGGGCTGGGTTGGGGCTCAGTGGTAGAGCACTTGCCTACATGTGTGAGGCACTGGGCTTGATTCTCAGCACTGCATCTAAATAAATAAAATAAAGTTCCAACAATAACAACAACAACAACAAAACACTGGAAAACATGTTTAAAGTAGAAATAGAGCTCAGGAGTTGGCACTGAAGAAGATTCATGGCTCTTCAGGTATGATCAGTCGATAACCACAATGTCATGTACCTTATGATGCAGCAATCCCAATCCAGGTATTTACCCAAATGAAACAAAAAAGTTTGTTCACCCTTCACACAAACACCTGTACATGTTTATAGCACTTTGTTCATAATCATGACTATGTAATTTTACATAATTAACTTTCAAATCCTGAAAACGACCAAATGCCCTTCAGATGGTAAAGGTATGGACTACCTGGGGTTCATCCTTACCAGGGAACCCTCCTCAGAGGTAACAGCACGGTGGACCTGAAGAGGGGTACGCCAAGGGCAAGAAGGACACACGGGCTACACAGACTTGATTCCATTCATTTGACATTGGAACAGGCAAAACTGCAGGGACAGAAAGTAGGTCACTGGGTCCAGGGACCTGGGGTTCGCAAAGGCCTGGCTGCAAGGGACAGAGGGGTGAGTGGGATTGACAGGACCCTTTACCTTGATTACGGTGCTGCTTACCCAACTGAATGCCAAGGATCACAGAAGGAGACTTTATTACATATAAATTGTACCTCAACAAGAGACAACTCAGTGTGAAGGAAAGGACAGTGAAGGGTAAAAGTGGTTTATTCAGACTTAACCCACGGTGTAATCTGAGAGCAGAGCAGTTTCTAGATGTGGGCGGGTCCGATGGCAGATGCTCAAGGGTGGAAATCATGCCGACTGATCTTTCCATGGGCACAGTACTTCCATAGGCAGCTGGGGCCTCCCGAGAGCCGCCCTGCCACTAGGACACCCACACTTGGACTTGGGGTTCAAGGTGTTGGGCTAAGACCAGGCGCCCAGGTTTGCAGGGCTCTGGGTGACGCTGTCCTTCTTCCCACTATTTTGCCTTTTGAGACAGCTCTGTGGACATCTCTGTGACAGGGGCTGTGTGGAGCACAGGTCCAGGGGTTGCAGTGAGGGGTGGCGTGGCAGGGGGTGGTGGAGAGACAGGGGCTTTCCCAGGCCAGTGTTCCTAGGGCAGAGGACCAGTTGGCTCTTGTCATCTGTCTATAGAGTCCTCCTCTCTCTGGGGACTTTCTCCAGCCCACACGCTCCCTGCATGTTCCTAGAATTCCACCTTAAAACAAGCTGGATGTACTTATGGCCAACTTCTCAGCCTGGAAAAGTTTCACTTAAGCGATGACACACTGCAGTTGGACCCCGTTCACCCACATCTGGAAGCCACATGTCGACGGCAGCTGTATAAAAGTCGGCCCTGCAGACCTAGGGTGACATTTTTTTGCCAAACGCCAGGCAAGCATGGACCTCACTGTCCTGTGGGTGCTCCTGCCGCTGGTCACCGTGGCCTGGGGCCAGTATGGCGACTGGGACCCGTACCAGCAGTACCAGCAGTACCAGGACTACAGCGATGACGGGTGGGTGAACCTGAACCGGCAGGGCTTCAGCTTCCAGTGTCCCCACGGGCAGGTCGTGGTGGCCGTGAGGAGCATCTTCAGCAAGAAGGAGGGCTCTGACCGGCAGTGGAACTATGCCTGCATGCCCACGCCGCAGCGCCTGGGGGAGCCCACGGAGTGCTGGTGGGAGGAGATCAACAGGGCCGGCATGGAATGGTAAGGGCTGCGGGTGGGGCCCTGGACTCTCAGGGGATGGGGTGCCCACCGCCTGGCACATCCTGCACCACGCCTTCCCCGCACCTTCCCCTGACGTGCTTCAGGTGGGGCAGGGCTGCCCATGGCAGACAGGACACAGACCCCAGGTGGCCACCCGCAGGTGGGCTCCCTGAGGTTTTGTTCCTTCCAGGGATAGAACCTACTCGTGATTGGGTCCAGGGGCTGGTGGGGTCTGCAGAATGGACACCACAGGAACTGAAGTTGCTTAAGAGACGTTATGGTGACTTCACACTGCCGTGACACTGGAACCCCATTTCCATTTTGTAAATTGTTTAACTATTTCACAAAAGCATTAGTCCACAGAAGTTGGGTGAAAAGAAGCAATTGGACCCTCCACACAGAGAGTTTGAGAAATACTGGTTTAGAGGAGTGACTGGGGAGAGGAGAGAGGACCTGGGGAGGAGGCAAGAGAATGAGTGCTTCTCCCGCCCTGCCTCCAGGTTCTCTCAGTTGTGGGGACCGAGAACCTTCTCTGCCTAAACCTAGAGAGGGTTCTGTTGCGGGAACATAGTTACGGGAGGCCTCAAGAGAGAGGCCCTGTCCTCCCCTGAGGGTACGGGACGGGCTCCAGCGTGCACTTCCCCCAGTGGGAGCGAGTGGGGGTGACCGTCCCAGCCAGGTCCAGCTCCAGGGGCACTCGGTCAGAAGCCCATCCCAGCACCAGCTTTTCACAACACCTGGGTGGAGCCTGGGCTTCCGGGTCTGGGGCGGAGGGCAGAGGGCAACCTGGGAGACAGGCCTGGGGCGCAGGAAGTCCACTGGCCAGCTGCCAGGGTGTGTCTGTGGAGCGAGCCAGACGGCTCTATGGGGGCTGCAGTGGCACTGTGTGGAGTGGGGGTGGGGAGGCTCCATCATAAAACAGGGGTCACACGACCACAGTCCAAGAGGAAGAGACACCCGTGGGTGGAGGAGCCAGGCGAGAGGGGCCTCTGACAAAAACAGCTGCTGTTTATTGAGTGCTGACCCTCAGCAGGCACCAGGCTGAGCCTCTGTATGGATTATCTCATTTAATGCTCCAAACAAATCCATGAATCGTTCCATAGACAAACTGTGGTCTTAGAACTGGTGCTTCTCCTCAGCTGGGAAGCTGAGATTTGGATCCAGAAAGTCTTAGCTCCCAAGATGATGTGCTTAACTGCAGTAACAGGCTCCGAGAGGCACTCCTGCCACCCAGCGAGGGCCCTGGCCCTGAAGCTCACCCTCTGTCTGCAGAGCCTGGGCCACAGGACTGGGGCCAGGCTAGCCCTTCATCCTGGGTGAGGCGGATCTCTAGCTCAGGGCCAGCCTGAAGGGCCAGCCTGGTTACTGCAGCTGAGCAGGGGCCCTGCTGGCCTGGGGAAGGGTGGGCAGGGACAGCTGTGGGCAGGGAGTTGGGCCCAGAGGCTGCCTGCACAGCCCTAGTGGCCTTCCTCGTCCATCCCTCTGCCTCCGGCAGGCAGATTTAACGATCCCAAACCCCTTCAGACCGATGGCTGGCTCCAAGATCAGGCCTGCTTGTGGACAGGACAGAGTCCAGCACTCCCCACAGCCAGGCTCGCTGCCGGCACGCAGCACGGAAATGACCTAGTTACACTGTCCCTCCAGGCCTCCGGTTCAGGCCCCTCATGTGGTTAGGGCCTCGTTCTGACAGCCTTTGTAGGGCAGCCGAACAGGAGCACTCAGCCGAGCTCCTCAAGCGCAGCAGGACAGCCCTGCACTGAGTTGGGAGGACTGGGCATGGATCCTGGTGCTAGTGACCATGTGCCACATGACCTTGGCCCAGGGCTCCACTCTCAGGCTCCCAGCTCATTGGAAACGGGCACTCAGCCGGGCAAGCTCTGCGGCCCAGGGAGGCACGGCGCAGCCTGGAAGTGCCCTGCCTTTCTTGCTGTCTGCGGATCCTTTTGTCCTCCCTGCCAGAGAGGGAAGCCAACGATGTCTAGTCTTCAATGTGCCAACTCACGGCTGGTTTGTCAGGAACCCCCAAGCAAAGAGGAAGGAGAGGACGTCACAGGTTTGGTTTGGCCCCTGGGAGTCCAGAGACAAGCTGACCGCCATCTCCCCTCCTCCTCTCCGCACTCTGGTGTGCAGGGCCCAGTGACCCTTCCTTTCTCCCTTCCACCTGCTCTTGACCTTCTCCCCCTCTGCTAATCACAGGCTGAACATGCAGAACAGCCTCTTTTCCATGGGACTTGGCCGCCCCAGACAGATGCCAATTAACCCCCAGGTATTTTTTCAGATGATCATGACTTTGAGCTCAGACTCCAGTCTCAGTGAAATATTTGAAAGGAAAGAAATTGCTCACAGGCTGGGGAGCAATCACGTCTGCCCATTGGCTGCCAGCTCTTGTCCTTTCTGGGGGAAGCGTCTATGCTTGTGTGCAACTTGGCCACCTTACATAAGCAAATCAGCGTACGTTTTATTTTAAGAGGGGGAGAGTTGTGACAACAGTGTCCAGGACCTGCGGGAGAACCTTGCTAATAATGGGGCACCATCTAAAGGACACTGCCATCAGAGCCCCGAGCCAGTAAAGCCACGGTTCCTCCTGTTTCTCTGCTGAAAACCCTGTCTTGGGATGCCGGATTCCCAGGCCCAGACGCCCACCTCCACCACAATGATGGCCAGGAGGTGGGCTACTGAGGGCAGGCCTGAGCTACTCCAGGGGATGTTCGCTGACTTGGGTTGGCACGGTCCTGTGTAAATCAAGACAAAGCTGGAATGTTCTAGGGAGGCTGGGATGCCGTGTGGTGGAAGGAGCTCTGGGCTGGGATCAGGGAGCCTGGACTCACGGCTCCTGTTGTGTCATCTCTCAGCTCCGCGGCCTCAGAGAACTGACAGAACATGGAGTCAGGGCAGGGAGAACCATTGCATTCTGCTTGCCTTTGCCTCCACGCCTCTATCTTCTGCTTCTTTCCCTGGCACAGGAAGAGAGAGGAGGAGAGGATACCCTCCTCACATGTCGGTAGAGGGCGTTACGGGGATGTTACAGGAAAAGGTACCGAGCGCTCTAAAACCAGTCTGCAACTAGACCCATGCCTGGCTCATGACTTCCTACCAGTGGCAGCTCAGAAAGATCTAGTGAATGAGGCGTTTGATGAGGCCTCTTTCGGGCAAGGCAGATCTCACAGAACTGAATTTGGAGGAAGAGTGTCCTGTGTAGGGGCCCCGTTTATACCAGAGCTGAATTTATGAATTCGCCCACGACAGTTCAGACAATGAGAGGAGAAGCAGGGAAACTGCCCCTCAGGGCTGTGTCGGCTTCCAGGCGAATGGGAAGCTGGACTTGTCAGGCGGGAACCTGGTTTCCACAGGTGACTGTAGTGAAGTCCAAGGCTCTGCGCCGCCCCGGTCAGCCTCCCCTTCCTGGTTGTGAGTCAGTGCAGGGCCCTGCCTTCCCTAGGTCAGCACTGCCCACCCTCTAAGCTTCCTCTACTGCAGTAGCCGTATGGCCCAGGGGGTGCTGGTGTCCTTGGCCCCGTGAGCACACGGTGATGGATAAGTCTCCTCAGTGCTGGAGGTGCTCCCAATTCCAACCCCGGCCCCCATTCCCTGCAAGGTTCCCGTGAAGGAGGTCACTTTGCTCTGTCTTTGATTCCCAGCCTTCCCGTGTGTGTCTACAACAAGAGCTTGGCTTTATGGTTCACACCTCATTTTGGTTTTCCACATGTGCCAAGATGCAGAATGGTCTTTGAAGACCTCCTGAGGATCTCAGAGACACACCAGGGGGATCGCCAACGCATGTTCCTGCCGCAGGATGTGTCCCTGATTCAGTTTGCATTCTCCCATGGTCTTCATGTCTCCATAATTTAAAAAGTAGACCACTAAACTCTTTATTTCAAAAGCTTTAAAGACCAAATGTCACATGGCATCTGGTTTGAATCCTGGAACAGAAAAAGGGCATTAGTAGAAAAACTGGTGAAATCCCAGTGAAGTCTGAAGATTGGGCTGGCTACTTCCTTATGAGGCACAAACACCCCCAGGTTCTGAAAGGTAGCCCCCAGGGCAGCGAGGATGGAGGGCAGACATCAATCTCGTGGGTTGTCTTTAAAGCTCTTAGGTAAGTGTGAAGCTTCTTCAAAATGAAAGGCTAACAGGCACATAAAACCGAAGGCTGTGGAGTACACCTGGAATTTAAAAGGCAAACTGACCATCGCCAAAACCAGGAATCCCAGGACGGGAAGGCCTGGGAGCAGTCACACCACAGATTAGGAGGTGGAGCCCCAGGGAAGTACAGTTGCGAAGGCAGTGAAACGAGACATTACTGCAAGCTCTGTGGTCCTGACCCAGATCCACGTGGGGACGTGGGCCTTGTTCTTACGCTCTCCTCCATCCTGTGCTTATGGTCATTAACTTTGCAGACTGGAGGGATCTGAGGGTCCCTCACACAGGGTCTGTGCTCTGGACGAGGTCCTGCCCAGCCTTGGGGGCCTTCACCACCGCAGTGGAAAGCAGGCGTACCCGCTGTGTCTGTCTGAACCCGGCAGACCAGGGCTCTGAAGAGGGAGACCCACCACCAGCTCATGGCTCAGGAAGGGCAGGGCAGCCAGCCGGACGTCCAGTGTCAGGGGCAGGGGAGAGGTGCTGATCAGGCCGTGGTGTGGGCTGAGCCAAAGAAGTCATCGAATCCACGCAGGAGGACTTCTGAGGGCAAGAAGGCCGTGGGGAGAGCGGGTTGGCAGCTCTAGGGCTCCCGCTGACCTTCCTTCCCTCCAAGTCACTCTCAGTACTGGGAACCCGTTGTCTGGGAGCAAAGCGCTCTTAGCTCCTGTAAGGAAGGCACAATCCACTTCTTCCTTCAGAGATTTGCCTGTCCCTGGGCTCCTGCCCGCTACGATCCTCCAATCAGTAAGAGACTTGCAGAGTCGGGAGGTGTGCTTGTGCTTCTGAACGTCTAAGGACTTTGGAGTCAGACAGAAAATTCCCCAAACACAGCCCCAGCTCGTTCTTGACCCAGCCAGGCCAACCCTCAAACCCTCAGTCTCTGCATCTATGGCCCCGCGGTGGTTGTGGGAATTAAATGAGGTGATGTGTGTATTTTACTGGCTGGTGTCCTTAAGAAAATCACCTAGCCTCTCTAAACCTGCATTTGCATTGCTGTGACCAACAATGACTACTCTGTGGAAATCGGGGCTCATGGGGATAAACATCACATTGTCCACCACTTACAAAGTTGGAGCAGAAATCCAGATTGTCTGATACCTACCATTTTGCTTTTAAAGCACCTAATTCAATTATGATCTCTAAACATTAAGTGCACGTCATCAGTAGCTTGGTACAACTTAAAACTCACTGAAGTAGCGTGGGACCTTGCCTGAAAGGCCTGGAATTGCTTCCAGGACAGTGAACACCTCTCACTAGATGCTCTGGATCTTCTTAGGGCCTTTGTGGTAGTCTCCGCAACGTGTGTTTTTCCAAAATGGGCCAGGGCCTCTGTTTTAGGGAGGTGTTTGCCCTCTATCTTGTGCCAGGTCTTTCCATCCAGAGAAGCTGCTTCCTGCCTTGATGCCTGGTCCCGACTGCTGGCCTGAACCTGGACGTGGACAGCAGGACTCTCACCTGGTTGCAGGCGGGAGCGGAGCAGACTGGGAACAGCGGGGCTTTGCTCACGCCGTACCTTTGGAAGGAGGATGGGTCATAGGTGGTGACACTGTCACGCCACAGGCTGTTTAGTGACAGGACATGTTGTATGAGGTATATGTTGACCTGTCACAAGGAAGACAAAGCAGTGTGAGCTGGAGTGTCAAGGAAGGAGGACCTCTTGGAGTCGGGGAGGTGGGGATCTACTTTCTGAGGCTGGTCTCATGGCCCCCTGGAAGCATCCAACCCTGACAACTCTGATCGTAGGCCCCAAAGAAAGTGGTGTCAGGAACTTAGTGTGTGGCTCCTCTTTCTATTAAAGCATAAATATTTATGAGCATAGTAATAATAACTAGCTCTTCTCCTGCCTTTTAATAGCATTGCAGACGGCTCACAAACAGCGTCTCTTCCCCTTCACATGATCCTGTCACTTCGCAGAGATGGGTACATGTGTCAGCAGAAGGGTGAGATGGATCGTGGAGTCACTGGGTTTGGGCGTAAGAGAAAAATCCAGAACTCTAAAAGCTCCTTTGACCGGGCAACTGCCTCCCAGCTGGGTTTGCCCCTGCCCTGCCCTCCCTGCCCGCTGGTCCCTGCCCGCTGGTCCCTACCCGTGCTCCACTCTCCATCTGCTTCTTATCTCCGATGTCCACCACCACGAGGTCTGCTCATCAGTACCAGACCTCCAGCAAGGTTCCCAGACCACGTGCAACACATCCACAGAGCAGGTTCTACGGAACGTTTGTGGAAAGACTTAATGGACCTTCCACAGTTCTGTGGACCAGGTTTTGAGAGCCTGACAGCAACTTAAAGAATTATTCTGGGGAGGACAGAATCACCAAAAGTTAAAGCTTTAAGAGAATGAAGCCCTCCTGGTACAACTGAGAGCCCCATCCAGCTCCAGGAAATGGGAAGACATTTGAGGGCGTCAGGAGGCCACGCCACACGGCCCCCACATCTGGATCCCAGTCAGAACTGACCTGGCCCATCTCTGCAGTGGGGTCGGGGATAGGGCAGCACACCTTGACTGCACCTGTATGTTTGGGAGCTGGGAAGGAAACACCCAGCACAACCAGCTGTCCGTTGTGTAAGACTTTGAGGGCTCTTGACCACAGGGTGCTGTGTTCCTTCACCCCCTTCTTCACCCAGCCAACCCCACTGCAGCTGCCAAGAGGTCACACTTTCTGTAAGTCTAACCTGGGCCCAGCAGGGAAGGAGGGACCGGAGCTCAATGCAGCAGTCCACACACAACCCACAGGCTCACCCACCTCCCAGGTCTGGCTCCCGCTGTCCTTCCTGCCCAGTGGCCCTGGACTTGATGCAGAATCCAGACAAAATGAGAAAGCCTGGCCAGAGTGACCGGGAATAGGGCAATACGGACTTAATTTTCGTGCTCCCCCAGAGCTCACGGGCATGAGCTCTGGCCGAGGATAAATCCTAACTTGGATCCTGGACCTTCAGTCACACCTTGGCATTACGTCATGGAATCCTCTCAGTGGCTTAGGGGGGCTCCACAGAACATGCTGAGGTCAGAGCTGGGCCCAGCACTCGTCTGCTGACCTCCAAGGGGCTCCTTCTCTGTGTCCTGCTGATTCTGTTTTGCTATTTCAGAGGCAGAAGAAATTTTCTGTCTGAAATTTGCTTTCAGAGTGATGGCCTGAGATTAGCCATTTTCAGAAAGGTCATTTTCTGAGAACAGTCTGAAAATGTTCTTGTCAGAGGAGGAGTAATTGCCCTGTGATTCTCCTCTAGAAAGTCTCTAGTCTCAGGTGGAGCAGGGCTAATATTGCTGCAGTTTGTGACACTGAAATTGACTCTCAGGCTTCCGGGGGACGGTGAGAGAGCATGGGGGAAAGTGGAGCAGGAGGCGCCTCTCTGGGTGAGTCCAACTCACCTGTCCTGCAGACCGACCGCTCAGGAGAGACAAGTGGGTGCTGTGGAGTGAATCAGAGCCTCGGCACCCCCTTGCACCACTGTTTCCTTTGGAATTGAGCTGGGGTAACGGCAGCGATGTAGGCCCTCCAACTCCCCCCGCCCGGTCAGGCTCCCCCATTTCCTTTCTGTAGGCCTGGCCCTGTGCCTACAATCCCGCAGCTGAGGTCAGTGTGCAGGTCTGAAGAAGCTTTGCAAACAGTGAGGGACAGAGAGAGCCGTGCAGGAGAGGGGCTGGTGGAGCAGAGCACCCCGGCGCCCCGCCCTCCGCAGGCCGCTGAGGGAGAAGGCGGGCACAGCCAGGCAGATGGCTCACCAGCTCCATGGAAACCCTTGGAGGAGTTTCAGGGCCTCGCACAGACTTGAGTGATGGGCTCTTACAAGTCACTTCTGCCTCCGATATGGGAAACGGCTGCGCAGTCACAGTTCATCCATTCTTCCATTAACATTGCAGGGCCAGGGTCAGGGCCTATGAGGAATGCAAAATAAAGATTAAATGACTGTTTCCCACAGGACTGCACTTCCTCTGGAGGTGATAAGACATAATAAAGCATCTGTGCTACAGTGTGGGTGGCCAGACTCCCACAGCAGCGAGCTCTGCCTCAGGGAGGTGGTCGCTAGGGTGTATGGGAGTCCACCTGTCACTCGAGGGGAGTGGCTTCACCAAGTGCACCCCCAGCGACTGCAGATGAGATGAATACAATGACAGCCTGGAGCTGGGTGCCGTGGTGCACACCTAATACCAGTGACTCAGGAGCTGAGCCAGGAGGAGTGCAAGGTCAAAGCCAGCCTCAGCGACTTAGCAAGATCCTAAGCAACTTGGAAAGACACTGTCTCTAACTAAAAAATAGAAAAGGGCTGGGCCCCAGATCAGTGGTTAAGCACCCTGAGTTCAGTCCCTGGAACCAAACAATAATATTAATAATGACAGCAGGAGAGATTTATTAAGCATCGAACACCACTCTCCTAGGAACCTTCTGTGCACTGTCTCGTGTGATCTGCACAGTGAGCTGGTAAGTAGGTGCAACTATTATGTCCACTTTACAGAGGAGGACACTGAGGCCATTGGGGAAGGAAGCCAGGTGCCAGATGCCAGGGCTAACAGTGGCAGCAGGGCCCTTGCTTGGAGCCTCTCTGCTACACCACTCTGCACGCCGTGGAAATGCATCACTCCAAGACCCCGTCCTGGAGGGAATGATTCTCACTACCAGCTCCTGAGTAGGCTCACTCTACCGAAAGGCAGCCTGACTGGTGCCGGGAGCAGGTTGGCAGTTCACCCCGTGCTCCTAGGCCTGGTGCCTGTGGGGTCCAGTGGGTCTTCTCTGGGCAGTGTTACCTGGGGTGGTGTGTGAGAAGGTGACACAGCGGGCTACCAGGCTGGCTGCCGGCCAGCGGGGAATTCGCGGAACTTGGCTTGCCCTCAGCACTCTGCTCAGCTTATCTTCCTGCGTCTATTTCTACTTAAGGGAACTTACTGCCGTGGGAACCCTGTCTGCTGAGGGTTGCTGAGTGCCCAGAACAATGGGAGCCGTGGCACCGTGGCTCCAGGGAGGTCACAGCCCAGCCCAGTCCTGAGGGCTCTGTCAGAGGAAAGCCACAGCCCAGCGCTGGAGAGAGGCAGAACCCAGCACCATGTGCTGATCCTTCTCTCCCCAGAGGCACAGGAGCTTGGCTCTGACTCTTAGGCTCCTGCTGAGGTCGCCTCCCCCCCACGTTGCTAGGAATTGGGCAGCAGAGAGCATGCTGGGAGACAGGCCCCAGAGCTACCCACGGCGCTCCCCCCTAGTAGCCCAAATGTGCCTGTGTGTGGTTGAGTACCCGGATACCGAACGAATGGAGAGGGAAGACGCCTTCCAACCAGGGATAAGCAACCTGATTAATGTCTAGATTCGTCAGATCTGCGAGTTCATTTCCAGCAATGAAAAAGAACAAAATAAAATCCAGTTGCCAACGGTGTTGGTCTGCGTGCCAGCAAGGCCTCTCCACGGCCAGCCCGGGCACTTACTGTCACCTTGCTTCTGACACTTTCTGGGACTTTTCTTTTCTGGGCTGTATCCCAGCAGCCATCAGGCTGAGTCACGAACTACCTGCTGTGCCCACTCTTGAAAGGGGACATCCAAGGCCAGGATGAGTAGAAGACGCCAAGACACGGAGGTGGCTAAAGACCTATTTTGTAAGGGTTTGTTCTGGGGTTGAATGTGTCCTTCAAAGTTCACGTATGGGACACTTTATCCCCAGATTCATGTAGACGGTATTTGGAGGTGGGTCCCCTGAGAGGCAGTCATGGGGGAGGGGCCCTATGATGGCGAATAGGGGCCCAAGCTGGCCCACTTGCTCTGCCTGAGATGCCCTCCACCACGTTAGGATGCAGCAAGAAAACCCTCACCAGAGGCGAGGACCAGGCGGCTGGATTTCCCAGCCACCAGAACTACAGAAACCTCTCCTCTTTATAAACCACAGACCAGGGCAGTCCGTGAAGGTCATGTTTGGGTAAGGTGAGAACCCTCTGAGCAGCACCCTCATCATCCCAGCAGAAAGGGGCAAAACTTTGGGTGCTGTGGGCTTTGGGGGATGGGAGAAGGTGGTGCTGGAGATGGGACAGAGGAAGAAACGTCTGCACTGCTCCAAGCCCACCCTTGGTAAGGAAGGTGCCGTCACATACAAGGGCCAGTTCCAGGAGCAGCACAGCTGAGCACCAGTGGAGCTGCTTCCTGGACCGTGGACGGGGCGGAGCTGCCACGTGTGAGGAGCAGGGCTCGGTGCTAGGACAGGAAGGACCCTGGAGGGAGCTGAGTTCCACTGGCCTGCTGCTCCTCTGTGGGGACTGCCCACCTCTCTGGCCTCTCGGCAGCACTGGGGCAGCTGGGGACCCTGTGGCACTAGGGCTTGGACAAGGCTCCTGGACAGCCCTGAGAACCTGGGGTGGTAGCCCTGGACAGAGCCCTGCACACTTCTGGGCTGCGATGCTGTTAGCAGAGAATAGTCCATGGACTTGAGTTCCTCAGTTCTCTGGATTTATATGTGTCTCCTCCTCCTCCTCCTCCTTCTTCTTTATTTGTTCTAATTAGTTAGGACAGCAGGATGCATTTCAATTCATTGTACACAAATGGAGCACAACTTTTCATTTCTCTGGTTGTAAGTGATGTTGAGTCACATCGTGTGTTCGGTCACACATGTACCTAGGGTAATGAAGTCCATCTCATTCCACCATCTTTCCTGCCCTCCTACCTCCTCTCCTCCCCTCTGCCCAAAGTTCCCCCATTCTTCCCATGTCCTGTCCCCCATTATGGGTCAGCATCTGCATGTCAGAGAGAACATTCAGCCCAACACTTATTATAGCTTGTATTCTTGATAACTGCCATTCTGACAGGGGTGAGATGAAATCTTAGAGTAGTTTTGATTTGCATTTCTCTAATTGCTAGAGGAGTTGAACGTTTTTTCATATATTTGTGGATTGATTGTGTATCTGCTTCTGAGAAATGTCTGTTCAGTTCCTTAGCCCAATTATTAATTGGGTTATTTATTTTTTTGGTGTTAAGTTTTTTGAGCTCTTTGTGTATCTTGGAAATAGTGCACTATCTCATATGCGTGTAGTAAAGATGTTCTCCCACCTCTTAAGTAAAATGATTAATGTTATCTTTTACTTTAAATGGCCTGAAAAATATACAATGTTGCATTTGTAGAATTCATAACCACCCGTTTATGTATTCCTTCACCTAACTACATATCCATAGAGGTGTCTCAGGAGCAGTGTCCCCTAACTTCCTCCAGTTGAGAGACTCTGAGTCATTTGAATATTAATGGTGAGCATTTGTCATTTCTACCTAACTTCTATTTTTTGTATAAAAAGGGAACATATTGTTAGCATCAGGCCAGGGAAGGAGCAGGTGGTGTCTGGGGGATCTCGGGAAGGTCTGTTTGTGGGTCAGCGTCTTAGGTTCTGGGTCTGCTCTCTCCTCCTCAGGTACCAGACGTGCTCCAACAACGGGCTGGTGGCGGGCTTCCAGAGCCGCTACTTTGAGTCGGTGCTGGACCGGGAGTGGCAGTTTTACTGCTGCCGCTACAGCAAGAGGTGCCCGTACTCCTGCTGGTGAGTCCCTCCTGACCCTGGGGCTGCAGGGAAGCCCATGAGGATGAGGGATCGCATTAGAATTGCTGCACTGCAGGGAGCCTGCAGCTGCCCAAGGCGCCCTTCCTCCTCTGACCAGAAGGGAGACAACATGGAGCAAGGCCAGGCCTGACCCCAAGTGCCCAGCCACTTCCCAGGGGTGCTGAGCCTTGACTGAGGCCTGCCGACCGTGGGCCTGAGCTTCTTCCCTCCTCCATGCCAGCTCCCTGTCACATCCAAGGCTGCAAGACCCACTCAGGGGCCTGGATCCCCGCGTCCCCCTGGGAGAAACCAGCCCTGTCGTGGGTTGGTTCTAGGACATAGTTACAGACAGAAAAGGAGCTGCTGCTCCTTTCTGGATCCATTTGAAATCACAGCCTGTGGGGTTTTGTTCTTCTCCTCTCCTCGGCTCATGCCCAGTGTCCACCGACCTAAGCGTCCAGTGGACTGGGAGAATGTGTTTGTTATTCACCCAGATAACTCAGTCCCAGGTCCTTACAAGCCTGGTGTTTCTGCCTTGGACAAAGGGACCTAAAATGTCACCACACTTGAAGGCTGGTTCAGGCTAGTGATTCATCTCTGCAGTCTGACGCTTGGCAGGACCGCCTGGCGGGTTCTGTGTGCCTCTGCCATCAGACAGTGCTACTCCAGAGGCCCGAGAGGCTTTCGGGGTCCCTAGGGAGAGAGACAGCATGAAGCACTGACAGGGAACCCAGAGTCCCTTCAGTTGAGGTCTGTGGCTGCCTGAAGGAGCAGCACCCTCCCCAGCCCCCCAGCTCCCCAACCTCCTTCCACAAAGCCTCCTGCACCTGCTCCTGGTGAGTCCCAAATCAAAGGTCCCAGCCAGGGAGTGGGTGGAAGGAGTCTCTGTGTGGTCCTCCTGCAAGCTCTCCTCCCTCTCCCTCCTCCCCTCCCCACAGCACAGCCTCTTTCTCTCTGAACAGCCTCAGTGCTTTGGGGGACAGTGTCTTTGGGGCACAGAGGGGTGGTGCACTTAAGCAGGATTTGCAGAAGTTTGCCGGGTCTGGAGCCCGCCCTCCCTCCAGACCATCCATGGATCATGGCTGGGAACCAGGTGTTTGAGGGCTTCCGAGCTTCCGATGCCTCAGTTCCAGAGGTGCACTGTCTTCAAAGAGAGGATGAAGGTTCCAGAGAGGAGAGGAGAGGGGGTGAGAGACTGCCAGCCTGCTGGGGCCTGAGGAGTGGCCTTCTGCTGTGTTCCTGCCCCATCTGCTTGTCTCAGGATGGAACTAGCCTCCCTCTGGCGTTCAAAGCCTTCACGATGTAAATAAGCACAGCTGGTCCTTGACAATTTCCTGGGCAAGGCTCCTGAGGAGTGACAGGGGACGGGGTCAGGTGCCTCTGACCCGTCCTGGGTGCGCCTCTTCTCAGGATCTGCTGTGTTCTGTGAGCCTGTGCGCCTGGTTGTTCTGCCCAGGCGTCCACGTGCCTCTGATTAATCAGGTTAGGGCATGGGCGGTCATGTTTCTGAACAAGATGGATTCATCGGGTTGTGTCCTGTCGCTGGGCCTGGTGTTGTGGATGTGTGCTGACAGGTGTGGGGTCATCCCGCCTCAGCACTGAGACTCAGAAGGGCAGGGCAAGCAGACCCTGAGGGGGGCCCCCTGGGTGTACCTGCACTCGGAGGGCTCTGCTTCTCTATGGTGTTAGAGCTGAGAGCTGCCCTGGCCACAGGAAATGGTGCCTGTTCAAGGAAACCTCGAAGAAGCGGCAGAACGGGCGTCTACTGAGCACCAGGGCAGGCTGTGAGACTCACTGCCCACGCGTGTCTAGACATTTCAGAGTTAAACGGCCTGAGTCATGGGGTTCTAGAGTGTCTTTCTAAATCGGATGAGACCTCTAGGGCACAATTCTTCAGCATCTCAGCATATGGCCTGGCACAAAGTCGACCCTTAATAAATCTGTGAAATGAGTAACTGCCGGTTTCTCGGCCTAGGGACGGGCGCTGGGGAGGACTGGCGGCTGCGATGGAGCTTTCCAGCCGATAAAGACGTCTTTTGTGTGCATTACTTTACTGAATCCTTTTAACAGCCTTGCCGCGGGAAGTGAGAACTGGGTCCAGCACTTTCCCACAGTGAAATGCTGATGACTCTCTGACACAAGACCTCCCCTTACCTCACCGTAACTGGCTGGTCTCCCTCCAGGGAACTCGGCTCCCACAGTGGGGACCACCCTCTTCCCCTTGGAGAGCATCGTGCACTGTTTTGAACTCGCAAAGTGTCCAGCATCTCTGTGCTGAGAGCATTTAGGGATTTGGACATACCACCACTCTGGGCTGGAAAAAACAGACCACGAGCCAACTCCCAAATGAGTGCAGCATTTATTTGTTTGGTGGGAACCAAGGTGCTGCTCTGACGTGGGCCTGTGCAGTCTCTGGCTGGGCAGTGCGGCTCGCTCATCCTGGCTAGAGAGCACATTCCTGATGGATGCGGACACACCGTGACCCAACGGTCCCCTCCGGATGGGACGAGTGTGTGAACTTGCATGTATTTATTTGTGAGGGAGAATTTAAATTCCTGGTCCAGTGGTCTGCAAACCTCAGACACATGTCCCTGGAGGCGCCCCAGCCCTTCAGAGACCGCTGGGCTCACTTCCACTCTCCAAGCAGGCCCAGCTGCTGCTCGTCGCACGC